TATATATATATATATATATATCTCAAGCAATATAAGAGATGAGAGATATGGGACACAAACAAACACTTCTGTCCTTTCACATATTGTACATTATCTCTGCTTGATGTACTCGTCTTCTCCACCTCTCCTTTCTCTCTCTTACTCACAAACACTTACACAGTTTGGTGTGCCTTTAACACACGGTATTACATGCTGTAATGAGTGGACTGTGTAATGAGTGCATGGGCCTCTGTGTGTATTGCGCTGTTGAGGGTATCATTACAGTCTTCATTCTATAGCCATCTGTCTGGCCTTCACAAAGAGCCTCTTTTTAGCCCGGCTACAGTTGGCCGCTGGCTGGCCGGGCTCTGGAACATTTGAATAATATGGCTGACTGCCTCCCTTTTCTTTGCTGTGACAGAAAGGGACACAGACAGGAAAAATACACACTGACAGACCGGTGAATAATAGCCACTGCAAGTTCTCTCGTGATGCACACAGCAGACCGGATCTTGTGTGTGTTTGTGTATATCTGGAGGGAGGTCGTGGAGGGGGTCGTGGGGGGGTGGTGGGGGTGGGGACTGTAGTTAATAGGTCAGTCTGTCTGTTTGGCTCTGTTTTGTGCATGCTGGTTTACTTCCAGTTCACTTCACATCTCCACGTACCTCCCTCTCTGTCTCTCATACTAAATAAGGACAGGAAGTTTGGACATGAAGGAATTTTGGAATTCCAGCGATCACAAGTGCCGCTGTTCACAGTGGGAGTGCAGCTATTGACTTTATTACACATCATTCGATGGTGGGGTGGAACTGAGGCACAGTAAGTGTTCCACTGCTTGTTAACTTGGCACTCATCTGCTAGGCTGAATTTCAGAGGCATGTTTTATGAATCACGCTTGAAAGTCAACAATATTTAGTTAGCCTCATAACACAGAGCTACTCAGAACAGGCCTCTGATACATATGGTCTTCCCCATTTTAGGCAATGCAATAGTTGTGACGTAATGACTCATGAGCTCAAGAATCCTAAACACATGAATCCCGTCAGATGACTCCCACTAACAAGGACTCAGTCATGGTGCTCGAGCTTCTCGGAAACCCAGTCAGCAACACACCCCCATTTAGACCAAATCATGCAAAAAAAGCAATTTATGGTGAAAGTTTGGAAAGAGTCTGCAACTATTGCAACAAAACAAGTAATGGATTGCTCTTTGCTTTATTTTTTTTTATAGACAAATGAATCACTTAATATCAAACAAGATTTAATGTCATTAGGATTTTGACTAGCAGTTATTTTTACTTATTTATTAGCAGTCTAGTCTCATCCTTAGTCAATAAAATGACAGAAAACAGTTGTTTCAGTGTCATAAATTGTAAGATGACACAAAAAAAGACTGTCCTTACTGACCAGTGATTTATAATAGCATTCATACCAGCAAATCTCAATTTTAGAGAAGACAGAATATGGCAGTGTGTGGCTGAGGGACCGGGTTGTGGATTATTTTTCTGCTGATCCAATAACTGACTAATGATTTGAGATCTAATTACAAAACAGGCATTCAATGCTGGGTTTCAGTCAGTCCTGTTAGGCAACAGCTTAAAAGGAAAAACCATACCCTCTTTCCCCTATAGTATGGGGATCAAGTTGCTCGGTTATGTTGGTGGTGGGTTGGATGACAATGCAACCATTTGTAGGTCACTGAACAGTTTAATACACATGAAAATGATAATAATATTATTTAAGTCCAACTGAAACACCTATTAGGAGAAATTTTGGACTGATGCAACAAATTTAGCATTATCGTGTTTATCAAAGCTGGAGGGATGGAGGGCCTTCCCGAGCATTTTACAGCCAACCCCAAAGAGTCCTGAAGCTGTTCTGAAAACACACACACTTTGTTTGAGGGTTTCCTTGAATTTGCCAATCTTACGTTCCTCTGATTTTTAGGTTTTACCAGTTATGATGTGCTGCAAACTATTGTGAAAGTAAATTCAAAGAGGATCAAAGCATTTACGTTCAACCTGTCACAAGCCTAATTTAAAGCGATCGCTTTAAATGAAAAACCAAAAACAATCAAACACACATAAAACATGACAGCCACTGGAGTGTTGCTGCGGTTATCAAAAGTTGCTGTCAGCTGTAACACGTCAGTGGTAAAACCTACCCAAACTCTGGGCAATCAAGCCACTCTATAACTGCTGCGGGACAATGTATGGTCGTTAAAAGGGTCATAAAACTTGTGAGTCAAAGGCAGAAGCTGCGTTACAACATTAATAATAATAAAAATAATACGATAATACAGCGCGACTGACTTCACTAGCAGCTGGGCATTTTACCAAAATTAGCTGGGTCGCCGTATATCGGCTAAATATTCAGGTCAGACCTCGTGTGGGTGTCTCCGAAGTGTGTCAGCATGAAATGGAGCACAAAACAAACAGTGGCCGACTTCTCTCTGCATGTTTGTGTCCATGCGGCCCCTTGGTTAAAGCTCCTTTGTTCAGCAACCGTACAGTCTGCTTGAATTACTACCCCAACTGGGAAGCGAGTAGTAGGTGTGTAGTTTCTGTAATGCTGCCGAACAAAACCCTTTGCCGGTAGTTTTAACGTTTTCGCAGGCTGTGGCGGCGCCGCTGGGAAGCGTTAACACCCAGTGCAGCTTACCTTTCTGCCGTTACCGACGCTAGCAAAGCGTCTATTTTCCTGTCTCAGGTTAACGTTAGCGAGATATGTTAGCCTCAACTACCTACAGCCGGGCAGCATCTCCATCGCTCTACTTACACGGTCGTCTCACTTGGTCACTACTTCATTCGGAAACTTGCATACATCCAGGGACATTATCCTGTGGCTGTCATTCGCATCCCCGGCTGCGGTTCCGCTGGACCATCCTCTCTGCCACCGGACCCGGTGGGGACAATGATGCTGTTGCCGACAGCGGAGGGGCGAGACTGACTTCGTTCTCTGTGTTGTTGTTGCTGCCAAAGGGAAAAGCGTGTTGCGCATGCGCAGCACTACCTGTCACGCAGAGAGCTTTCACCGGATTGGTCGGCTATCTGCGCTCGCTGGTTGGTTGGTTAAGGTCAATATCAGTTAAGATAATAATAATAATAATAATAATAATAATAATAATAATTTTAAAATGTAATTAAACTTTAAAAATCCGAGAAGAAAATTGAAAAAGAAAAAAGAGAAACAATAACAACATTTATGGTGACGTATATGAAGGCATGAGAAATACTTTATTTGTCCCATATTTGGGAAATTCTTTTTGTTTTAGCAGTAACGAAAACAGGAGACCTAGCTGGAGGTGCCAGAGCTGGAAATCCTAAGCCCAAAAGCACATTCATGGGTGTAGTGAAAGAGGACGTGCGAAGGAGTGGTATGAAGGCAGATGATGCTACAGTGACCCCTACAGGAAGCAGCTGAAATGATGATGATCATCATCATCATCGTCATCATTTGTGTATGTTATTGGTTGCCTTTTATCTCTCTGATTTTGTTTATTGACCTACACCACAACTCCAAATGTCTTTTAGTCACTCAGTCTTTTGGTGTCACCAGCTCCAACAGTGCTCTACCAGCAGGCCAACAAACTACACTGCATTCTCAGCAACTGAGTGAAAGCCAAGCACCATCATTTTGCTGCACGTGAGTTTTGGATACAGCCTCTGCATTTGGCCTTCCAGTACAACCTGTAGATGTGAATGCCTAGGTATTGGACTGCTCCATCAAGTCAACATCTTGTCCCAGGACAGAAACGGGGAATATAGCCATCCTCTTTCAGAAGCAGATGATTACTTCCAGACCACCCCACAAAATCACCCACCAGTGCGCTGTACTAGTAAAAACAACTGAACTGTTATGTTATTTGCCACAAACACTTTGGGGTTAATTCCTTGTGTGAGTTTGACAAATTACCAGTGTGATATAGATGAACATAAATGATCATAGGCCAGGAAAGCATTTTTATATCTTTGTCCCCTTACCCTGCAACCTGAGACAATGCACCACATTTTGATTGGCTCAACTTTACAAGTCATCACATGTGAGAAGTGCATCTAACCCTAGTAACACCTCAAAAAGGAACAGGAAATGCACAAGTGTATAAAGAGTTTAATATAAGAGCATAAAATGAAATCTCAACTTCAGTTTTGATATTGAGATACATGATCACACACAGTCAAACCTTCAGCCTTTACAGCTTGTGCACATTTATCTATTTAGTTACAAAATGAATATCAAAGATTCCCCCAAAGATTTTGGTGGGATGTGATAACCACAGTTGCAATTTGGGAAATGAACAAGGCGAAACTTATTTATTTGCTTGTTTAATAAAACCTCTCCATAAACATCATAACTTCAGTGTGATACAATATAGAATTATATGCATAGATTGTAACACAAAGTGCAACTAACAAGAAAAAAAACTAGATCAAAGTACTGTTTGATGTACCCACTCTGTGTTTTTGAGCATGCAATGTAGGTACACATGCAGCAGACATATAGTTTGCACACCTCTGTAACTAGTTTGTTATGTTGTGAGAATTTGGGGCCAATCAGAAATCTGCTTGTAAGTGTCTGAGTCAGTCAGCAGTGAAACGGTATCACGGCATCGTTAAAACTCCTGTTTTAATATATCAGCATCACATGTTTCACGTTTTTCATGTGAAACCTTTGTCTGCTAAACATAACAAATACATGTGGTGAGAAAAAAAAAGCATCAGATGAGTGGAATGATGACGCAAACCACCCATCCATACATCTTCTTTCGCTTATCCGGGCTGGGTGGCAGCAGCAGCCAAAGCAAGAAGCCCACCTCCTCCAGCTTATCCGGGGGAACACCAAGGTGTTCCCAGGCCAGCCGAGAGATATAATCTCTCCAGCGTGTCCTGGGTTTGCCCCCAGCCACCTCCCTCCTGATAAACCAATTCAAGTAAAAGTACAGTAACTACAATTTTTGGATTATACCTCAAGACATCACACCAAACAAACCAAGAAAATAATCAGGACACACCTTCAGGTTGCACAAAGTCCAAAATAAACACACAACAGTGATGAAATGTTATTATTGCTAATGAAGGTTTTCATATTCTTTATTATTATCAATAACTTAGATAATTATGAATAAACCAGCTCATTAAGGAAACTTTTGTGTGTAAGCTAGAAAAGAAAGATCTCAAGAAAACAGCAAACAACCAGACTGCCACTCTCTTTACACCTCACTGTTGCGCGCGCGCACACACACACACACACACACACACACACACACACACACACACACACACACACACACACACACACACACACTACTTATCATTTTTATCATCCTGACAGCACAAGCCAAAACAACAGGCCTCACACAGGGTTTTTTCGTGGGGTTTGGACCTCCGTCTCGTAGCGCCTGAGTCACCTTCTTCATTCTTATCCTCCTCTCCATAGCAGTTCTTCCGGATTTCAGAAAACAATCTGAGCAGAGCCTCTTTCGCCTCTTCCTTGTAAAAACCGGGGAGATGAAAATTATCGTCTTGGCATCGCCGGCAGGCTTGTCCAAAAGGCCGCATGGTCACCGCCCCCTTACCGCCTCTCAGCCGATAACGGAACAAAAGCACCACACGCACCGAAGGCCAGATCCTCCTGCAGGATGCACACTGAAAACTGTGGGAGAAATTATGACTATAGACTCTGGTCAATGGTGATTTTTCAGGTTAGTAACTCTGTCTGTGTCCCATCAATGCTTTGAACTGATGTTTTTCAGTTTCAGATTGCCACGTCAGCGGAAAGCTTTAGTAATGATTCGCTGGGTCAATCATACCATGCGAATTGTCAGAGTCTTAATAAAGCAAGATAACTGTTCAATTATCGCTGTAACTAAACTGCAGAACCTGTTTTCCTCACAGAATAGCATTGTTTTAATACCGTCCACTGCTGCTCCCTGTCACACACTAACCTCGACAGGTGACCCACCTGCTCCCGTGAACATGAATAAGGTGGAGACGGAAAAAGCACAAGACAATCTTTCAATTTATACCCACTACCTGAAAAATGATTGATGCCTTTTTCTTTCCAGCATAGTTTCTACTATTATTATTACATACAGTGTAAGGTAAATATGATTTCATTAAATTAAACATACTTTCCATAAGCGCAGTGGGAGAAGACCTTCCAGCCTCTCCTATTTTCCTTCTTGGATAATTTGTCTGTCTGTTTGTAGCTGAAGGTGAGCGACCATGGCTCTCCATAGTCCAGCGCATTATCCCCACAGAAGAGCTCCTCAAAGGTGTGTGTCCACAAGGAAGGAGCCCAAGCTGGACAAAGAGGAAAGGGAAGGACGTTAGGCTTATGCTATACAGGCAAATCACTCTTATATTTGTCATTACAAGAACACAGGAAACGCTTTTAAACGCCTTGATCAAAACAAATATGCAATGCATTAATTACAAATCAACAGTGTTGGGTAAGTTACTTTAAAATAGTAACTGAGTTACATTACTAGTTACTTCTATCAAAAGTA